TTCTTCTGATATTAATTCAATTAAAGATGTAAATAAAATTTGTCTTGTGTCGTAATCCTGTTCTCTAATCCAAAGCCCGATTTCTTCATTATCAACATTTTTCTGTGAAAATAATAATAAATAAATTAAGATAGTATCAAATCTACATATTAGTTATAAATCCTTACCTAAATTAAACTATGCCAATTATAAACTTGTATAACATCATAGCAGACACTTGTGTTCATTTGATCCCTCTGTTTACCAAGCATAATCAGTGTAAGAAATTTCTTTAATATATCGTCAACTTGACTGAAAAAACAGCTATTTAACATTGGTAAACCAACAAATGGAAGCATATTGTGCTGAATCTCAAATTTTATCAAATGTTCTTCTTGACTTTCATAATTTTTAAGATTAATTAATAAATTATACAGTGAGGTCGCATGATCAACTTTTTTGTGTATATGCATATTAATAAATTCGACTCTCTGCATGCTTTGTATCCTTCCAGTAAATTGTTCGTAGATCCATGGAACTGCCCATGACTCTTTAGTACAGTAAAGTGTATCAGTTAAATACTTTGTTACAGTTGGATAATCAGCTAATAGTTTTGTCCAGCGAGCTTCAAAAAGGTTTACACATAAACTATTATGGCAGGTATAAAAATCAGAATAAAATAACACAAATTGAGAGCCTAATTTTCCTTTTAATTTTTTTTTAAGGTTCATATCTATGTGAAATATGCATAACATATGACTGGTGGTGGGATATACTAACTTAATTGCATTTATTATTGTAGGATCACTATTGGTAAATATTACCGTAAGAATGACACTAGTTTCCTCAAGCAGTTTTTCATAAATCCACTTAAAAGTATCCAATGTTTCATTTTCAATGATGCAACTAGCTACAATCCTTGTTCTAAAATTATTATCTATTATGGCAACAATAAAAAGCATCATCTGAAATTGGTTCATATTTGCAGTTGTATCCATAATTACCACATCATGAAACTGCTCATAAAGGGACTTTTGTGCTGGAGAAAGCCATAATAAAGAATTTAGCTTTCTTGATACTGTCTCAATACGTGGTGCAACTACCCATAATAGGTTTTCCTCCTTCCATTTTAATAATGTTTGAAGCATTAAAGAAGCATCAGAATCACCAGAATTATGTTGTCATCGAAAATTATACATAGCATTGTATAAATCATGTTTATTTAAGAGATAGTTGGGATAATCATGTCAAAGTAAAGGATAAATTGACCCTGAATCCATCCTGCCTTAAATTACATATTTTTCAATATCTGATAACATATCAAGAGTCAACTTGCAAAATTGTGTAGCAATCTCACTAACCATAGGGGTAAGTGTATGATTATGAGAATTTTCAAATGAATTAATTTTTACTT